TCTCTGGGCTCCCCTCTGGGTCAGACACTCTTGTGTCCCCCAAAAGGGAAGGTGAGCCTGCTCCAGCTGTGGGCTCACAGCTACCAGCTATGACAGACCTTTCACTGGTCAGCGAAATCTCCCCCCCTTTCACTCGGGTTGGGCTGGCACCCAGCTACAGAGACCTTGTGGTCTGTTCCTACCACAGCGGTCATCAGGACCCCAACTTCCACCTTTGGGACACGTGTCTCTGTGCACCCCAAGACAGGTGCTGCCCCCTGCTGACCTACAACTTCCTAGCAGTCAGCAGCCAGGGTGGCCCCCCTGTTGGAAGGTGGTACATTCCCCTCCCCCGGGGAGATGATTAGTGGACGGGAGCTTGCTTTGTCCAGCCCCTTCCTCTGGAACTTTCCTTGAGCCCCGAGGCTACAGGACCTGGTTACAACCATCCCTGTCCCTGAAGCTGCATCCTTTACTGCTGCAGAAGAATCTAAGAGACACCCTCCTATTCCCCCAGCAGTCCATGTGACTTCACCCTCCCCCCCCCAACCCCGGGGCTTTTAGCACAAGATTCCTTTTCACTGCTAACCAAGCGTGGGACAGATTCTGCCACATTAAAGAAATCATTTCCCAGTAGAAACAGTGCAAAACTGTGCGCCACCATTGCAACAGTCAGTTCAGCCTGCAAATCCCGAGTTTGCATATGTACACCTTAGCTAAAGATGCAAGGACTTTATAACCCCCTACCAGCTCTAATTCTGCCATTTTACCTAGCAACAAATCCTTCTCCTGGATCGGGTCCCTCCTGACCACAGAAATCTCAGCACCCGTGTCCCTCAATCCAAGAAGCACTTTACTATTAATAAACAGCATGCATATGCTCATTGCTTGGTTGTGTGGAAGCAAGCTTTACAAATCCTGTGTGGAAAGAGGCCACAGCCTGGCTCTGAGAAGCTACAGCTTCATGCGTTACTTGTTGCCTGTTTCCACTCAGCAAGGGACACCTATTCCTCAGGTGCTCATTGGACTTACAATGATAGCACGTCTTGGGCTCCTCTGCTTGCATAGGAAATTTGGGGTGAGTACCAGGGGAATGGGGAGGTGACTGTCCAGCCTCCTTTTTCCCAGGGGTAAAATGGTGATTCTGCTTTCACCCAACCCAGTACGTGGTTTATGTTTGATTGCAGCTTGTGCTTGCTCATAAGAGTCTGCATACCCAGCTAATTCAGCCACTGCATTTACCTTTTTATCCCACAAATACTGTTTTACATCATCACTGCACATATTCAGAAGTGTTCCTGAGTAACCAGATCACACATCCCTTCGAAGCTTGTAATGCCTTTCCCCCTGCACCCACTTATCTACCAAAGCTCTCATTTCATTGGCATAAGCCACATTACTCAATCCAGATCCCCTCTTAAGACTCCTGAATTTAACCCTGTAGGTTTCAGGTGTAAACTGAAGCTGTTTCAAAACCAGATCCTTAAATTTACCATAGTTTGAAGCATCATCAATCGGCATTTTATTAAATATGTCCAGAGCTCTGCCAGTCAATTTTGCTATCAATGTGGCCATCTTTTGATCATCAAGGATGGCATGGAGGGTGCACAGTCTCTCGAAGATGATGAAATATTCAGCAATATCGCTGGATTCCTCATACTGTGGACACAGTCGCTCCCATTTATGGATTTTTGGGGAAGTGGAGCCAGCAGATGGAGGGTTTTGTCTCTTTGACTCCATTACAGGCAGTTCATGCCTCTAGGGCTCCATAGCTCTCTCGTGGGCAGCTGCCTCACCCTTGCTGTCTCTGCCTTCATGGCTGTCTTGTGGGCAGCCTCCTCCCTCTCCATCAGTCTTTTATGTTCATTTTCTTTCTCTTTTGCTTCCAGTCTAGCCAGCTTTATCTAGTTTGTTAGTTGCTTCACTGGTAGTCATTTTCCTGCTTTCTTCTGCTGGGCCACACCCCCTCTGCAGTTCACTGAAACTGGGATGCATTCAGCTCAGTGTTCAGACTTTATGTTGCTTCTTTTTCTGTCCCTACTTCTGTTACCCGAAATAAGCAAACAGAAAATAACAAACCAGTCGCCACTTTGTCTGTTCTCCAGCCACCACACTTAAAACTCACTTAAAATCACTACCAGTATCTCAAAGCAATCAGCTGTGCACAGATCCTGCTTGACTATGCCACTGTGACGGGTTGGATCACAGAAACCCCCTGGGAACTGCCAACTGATGTGCCAAGACTACCACTGCTCCTGCTTTCCCGGCCAGCTCAGGACTCCAGCACCCTGTCTTGCTGAGCCAGACACTCCCGTCTCTTCCAACACAGACCCAGGGTCTGAATTACTTGCCCCAAAGCTGCAGGTTTACCTGAAAGCAGCTCACAGACGTGTTCCTGTCTTTAACACTCAGATGCCCAACTAAACCCAAATAAATCCGTTTTACCCTATATAAAGCTTATACAGGGCAAACTCATAAATTGTTCGCTCTCTATAACACTGATAGAGAGGTATGCACAGTTGTTTGCTCCCCCAGGTAGTAATACATACTCTGAGTTAATTAATAAGTAAAAAGTGATTTTATTAAATAGAGAACGTAGGATTTAAGTGGTTCCAAGAAGTAACAGACAGAACAAAGTAAGTCACCAAGCAAAATAAAATAAAATGCACAAATCTATGTCTAATCAAACTGAATATAGATAAGATCCTCCCCAGTTCCAGAATGCTCCCTTTTACAGACTAACCTCCTTTTAGCCTGGGTCCAGCAATCACTCACATCCCTTGCAGTCACTGCCCTTTGTTCCAGTTCCTTCCAAGTATCCTGGAGGGTGGAGATACTCTCTCTTTAGCCAGCTGAAGACAAAATGAAGGGGTCTCCCAGGGGTTTAAATAGACTTTCTCTTGTGGGTGGAGACCCCCCTCCTTACCCCATGCAAAGTCCAGCTCCAAGATGGAGTTTAGGAGTCACCTGGGCAAGTCACATGTCCATGCACTACTCAGTTTTTACAGGTAGCATCCATTGTTTACATGCTACCTTGAATGTCCTCAAGTAGACTTCTTATGTGGATTGGAGCATTCCAAGATCCATTGTCCTTTTAAGTGTTGCTTGATTAGGTACTTAATTTCAGCATTCCTTTCTCCAGGAACTGACCAAATGCTCTACTAAGC